AGTGTGTCCAGAGACAACATTATTGTAGAATGACTTTTTTCCACATCTACATTTTTAATAAATTTTGGTTTTGAGGATGGAGAATAGGGTAGGAGTGGTCATCTTCAGGTGCAGAAATGGAGAGGATTTAAAATGTAGAGTGATGTTTCTCTGACTTGTGACTATTCCAGTTTGACAAGGATTTGGTGGGGGTGGGGGGAGAGTAGAGGGATTCTGCATGACTTCCAGGTGGTTTTCCCCAAGAAATCAAAATGACCAAATGAAGATTGGTATCTCCAGAATAGTGACTGTTTGTTTGGCTACAGAAACTTGGAATAAAAAAACCTTGGAACCTGCTGCTGCCCTGAGTGGGGTATTTTTTCTGGATAGGCAGCAGCCAGCACTTGCTTGCTAAAAGTGCATCAGGCCTGTGCACCACAGCTCCCCTTGAGAAGTGTGTGTTAAGGGTGATTCAGCTTCTAAAATGTGTCATTCTTTGAAACAAATCTGAGTGGGAAACTGAGGACAGAAAGGGGAATCGTTCCTTGCCCAAGGTCAGTCAAGGTTCTGTGATACAAGAGAGGGTATTTGGCAGTAATTCTTTGTTACTCTGTTTCTCAGTTGCTAGTGGGAACACTTCCAAAACAAATCTAGTCCAATGGTCTAAAAGCCTCATTTTGTAGTTTGCTTTTTGTGTTGCTGCCTTTGAATTAGAGTTAATGAATTTCCTACTTCTGTCACAACAGCCTTATTTAGAAGAAGACCAAAGAGTTCTCCTAAAGACATTACTACTCCCTGTTCTGTATGGCCCTGTTCACTTGAGTGAATGGTAGAGGTAAAAGGAAGTTGTTGTAAGGTTCTTACCTATTTTCCTGCTGTAAGATAATGTTAAATAAATTTGAATTTGATTCAAAATGCTGATAATCCTGGCTTGGGCCTCTTTGGAAAAGAGAGGTAGACTTTGCTGTAGACAGGACAGTCAAAAGAAAGGAAGAGGTCAAGTAGAGGAGCTCACCAAATACAGCCGTCTCTGAGAAAAAGAGCTGGGCTCAGACAGGAAAGCTTCCTCCTGTGTCAGGCACATCTGTCCTTTCCATCACTATCTTCAAAATTCATAGAAGGAAAGGTGGACATCTTGGTTTTCCTATAGGTGTTTTAGTGGACACTGTATAATCTCTGTGTATCTGTTTTCATGCTCTCAGAATTAGTTATTTATTTTTTCTAAGTGTGAAGAAAGAAATACTCTGTTTGCTGAAGATGTAGAAATCATGACAATGGTGAAAACTCAAGCAGTTGGTCATGCACATTAGTCAGAGGTGGTGGATAGCACCTCGATGCAGAGAAAGGAACTGGTTTTAGAGAAGGTGGGAAGTAGAGGTAGGAGCTTTTAATTGTGTTCAATGCACAGGCATAATCTAGGCCTATATACTTCTCTAATTTCTCAGTTAATTTGATGTCAATGTAAGGCTTGTACAGCAACAGGAATTGATTTTTCTTTTTCTTATTCCTCCAAAGCTCTTGTCATGATAATTATTTGTTCACTGTCTTTTCTCACAGTCAGGCATCACTTTGGGAAAATATAGTCTCCTTGAGGATCAGCACAGTTTCTATTATTTCTAAACCTTTTCCATCCATTCCCTGTTCCTTTTTCAATCCTGTTTTAGCATCTTCAACCAGTAACTCCAATTTCATTTTCATCTCTTTCCTCAATTTCAGTTTCATCAGCTAAAATAATCTGCAGTAGAACATTTTGTGCCGACACTTAAATGTTATCACCAAGCTTTACATCATTTATACTACCGTGAAATGAATGGTATTGGTCATGGGGAGGCATGCTGCTTGGAAGCATTTTGAGGCTCAAGGCTGTTTAGGCTATTCTAAAAGTAAAATCTGTATCAGCTGATCTTGAAAATACAGATGATATAAATCTCATATTTGGGACAACTCAAAGCATGTGTATATGTAAACTTTCTTAAACATGGTTTTACATTTTGCAGTGTCTAGGTATGTCATGCAGGCCAGAAACAGGTCACGTGGTCTGGATCTAGCTCATGGGTTCCTCCTGGGTAAGGTGATTCTAGTCTGTTTAAACGTCACTGGATTTTGAGACCATCACCAGAATTAAACTGTCTGTGACATCCTGGTTGAATGTCTCACTTGGCTCTTGGCTTTTCTAGGGTCAGGACACTGCACACTGAAGAGTTCCTTTCCCTCTCTCCCAACCACTTCTAACAGTCTCTTTAATATCAGTAAAACTAACTTTTTCTTTTTCTTTTTTTTTTTTATTTATTAAAGAACCTTGTTTTCATATTATCTCAAGTTACTGTTTCAAATGTAATGTCTGTACACTAAATACAAGTGTACTACTCCTAACTGTTCTTGTTTGCTGTAAGACCTTTGGTGTAAATAGTCAGAACAGCATGAGGTCAGCAGCTGTTTGACCATACAACTGATGTTAGAGGGGAGGACAAGAAAATGCCCTCCCATAGAGAGTGCAGGTGACTTGCTAGATGATAGCTCGCTGTAGATGATATACAGGGTTGGCCCCAACTCACACATTTATTTAGTTTTACTTTTAATTTGTCATATGAAGTACTTAGTGGATTTTGATATGAAGCATAACTTGCTAATGAGACCATACCTGCTGTTTGGGAGAGTTTGTGAGAAGATGTGATGACCATGTTCTGAAGTAGTGATTTCTGCGAAGTGCTAAATGAATTCACATTGATCTTAACAATACTGGAGGGTCTAGCTTTTGTCTGTTGGTACAAGAGGCCTCTTTTAGCTCTCAGTGGCTTCGAAAGAAGTGCAAGCAAGCTCCAGCTATACTACAGATCTATTTCCATAGGTTCTACGTGTACAAGTTCAATTAATGTACGTTACAGAGCCTTTTTTGGTGCTTCTGTAGTGCTATTAGACAACACAATTCAATTTCTCTTTTCTCCTTTTACTGCATGCCCCCTGTGTTATTTTGACTTGTGAACATCCCAGGAGGCCGTACCTCTCACAGCAACATAGCTTCTGCCTGGAATATTGACCTTCCCAGAACAAGTTCATCGGTGGTCAGCATGGTCTCCATAGTTAGTTTTACTCATCCCCCATGTCTTTCAGAGCCATGTATAGATTATTAGGCTATTTTCTTTTTACTAGGAGCAATTTGGTTTTAATTTAAAATAAATGGTCTCTGTGAGAATTACACGGCTGCTCAACTTTTTGTCTTTTCAGCATGCCCTTGTATACGGAAGTATGCTACAGGTGTAACTTGTTATAGCCTCCATCCCTTTGCGCTATTCTTTGCTCTGAGGCCCTTGGCTTTTCCTTGTCATGGTGTGCCTGTTCAACACTGGGTGTCATCTGCCATCAGACAGTGATCCTGCTATTTTGGGACTGTCACACCAAAAAACCTGCGTTCAGTGCTTATAACCACATGAGCCCTTGAGAAGGCAAGTGTTGCTTTCTTCTACAGTCACCATCCAGTTAAACCTTTATCTTTGTTAGCAAAATAATGTAGTGGAAGGAACTGAGACAGCTGATAAGGAGATTTCTGACTGTAGCTCTGAGTTTGGTGTTCAGTTGTAGCTCTTGTGCATTTTCAGAGAGCATTGCCTTCTGGCTGAGGTATAAAGCTCAGAAGTATTAATTCATGCAGCTGACTGGCACAGGGACAGCACTTTTAAAGAATCACAGTACAAGTACTTCTCCCTTCCCAGACCTTACAAATCATATTTTTATGTGACCATGTGGGTCTCACTTATATCCCCATTGAAGAGCCTTAGTTCAACTGTAGCAAAAGCTTCCACATAGAGTGGTCATCTTTGATCATCCTTGTTGACTTTCACTTAAACCTTTTTCAGTTCTACTCTAGAGGAGGATATTAAACGTAGGATAGATTTATACAGTAGCATAGTGATAGTCTCTGCTTTGGCTTCTATTCCTTTCCAAATAATCCTGAGCGCTCTGTATACTTCTGTGGGTAAAGTTTCTTCTCTGCTGCTGAGCAATGAGCTGGTATTAACTGTCTGTTGTAACATCCAGATCTTTCTCCTGGGTGGTGGTGATCTGTTTGGGGTCCATCACTGAATGTACAAACTTGGGACTGGCTTCTCCATATGTGCTCCATTTCACTTGCCATTTTGTTATCCAGTCATCCAGTCTGTAGTTCCTTATAGTTTCCCTCACTGGTACTACTTTGAATAACTTTGAGTCACCAGCGAAGTCTCATCTTGCTGTTCATGCTGTTCCAGATCATAGGTGAGTGCTGCATGGCACGTGTCGCAGCACGGAGGCCTGCAGAGCTGCACTGTGACCTCCTCCCCTGCCATGGCGAGGATGGAAAGCTTATTCCTTCCACTTCCTATTTTTAGCCAGATGTTTATCCATGTAAGGACTTTCTTAGGTTGTAACTGCTAATGGTTCATGTCATGGCTGCTTACCTCACCTGTAATTTCAAGTATGTATTGTAAGACCACCTTAGAGAATAGACTTTCGTATTCTTTCATGTTTAGCTGATACACTGTGGATTCATTAGTGAAAACACATCATAAATAATAATATGATAAGAAAATCTTTAACTCTTCTATCTAGAGTGTAATATATTATGAATATTGGTCTGTAAAACAATCATTTATAGTAGATGAAATGTAATTTGGTGTAATTCAACGTAGAGGTTCTGCTGGCATGCTGAATGAGTGACATGCCGATGTCTGCTCACCAGGACCTCCAGATGGAATTCCCTGTGTATACTTTAACACATGCATTTTGTGTGTATGTGTGTATGTTTGAATATACCTTATTTTCTTGTGTATACTTTGACATGTATTTTATAGATGTTTGAATATAGCTTATTTCTACATGTAACTTTTGTGTTTCAGAAGTGTTCTGTACCTCTAATAAACGGGCAGAGACATTGCTATGCATCAGCAGTGCTATCCAAGTACTGACTTCATTTCAGTGAAACACCTGGATTTCCTACAAGTTCTTATTACCTGGAAGAGTAATTTAATAGGTTTTCATTAATAAAGGCAAATGTTCAGAAAAATTTCTGCTTACCAAATGAGCTTTTCTCTTCCTGGTATAACTCAGGTGTAATGTCTTTGCTGAAACCTCTTTTGCTGGATGTCGTCTCAACTATTCAACAGACTGCTGCTTTGGCTCTTGGGAGACTTGCCAATTATAATGATGACCTGGCAGAGGCAGTCGTGAAGGGAAACATTCTTCCACAGCTTGTGTGTTCATTGTCTGAGCAGAACGTAAGGCATCATTGTTTTCTTAAGTAATCGTTTTTTCTAACTATTGTACAGGGAAAGGGAAATATTTCTTTATCAGCTATCTGCTGGTGTTCTAATATAGCAATAAATGTACTGAAGTCAGAGACAGCATGTATGTTTGAACCCCTGAGAGGTCAATGTCTACGGTATGCCTAAGTCTGACTTAAAATAAGCTTGACTTTAAAATATCATCTTAACTGTTAGTGCACTATAGGAAATATATTCATGGCACTGTTACGTTTTTAAAATGTTGAATGATGCTTTATAAAATGTCCCTCTTTAACAATGAGACAATTTGAAAGCTGTAGTGATAATTGACTAGGATTTATCGATGATACCAAACACTTGTAAAATACATATAAAACCTGAACTTCTGTAAGAAATACTTAGTATCTCCAAATATAGCCTTTTGGAGATCTGTAGCATGAGAAATATCAAACCACTGACACAGAAAAATACACTGGAAAGATTTTGTCTTCCTATTTGTCAAAAACAAACAAAAAAAGTATAGTCATAATTGCAACGCAAATAAATCTGGTGGTCTCTCTTTTTTTTTTTTTTTTTTTTTTTTTTTCCTCTCTTCTTGCCATTCTTCTTCAAGTTTTGCATATATTCCAGCTTTGATTTTCTGGTGATCCTAACCTAGATTAGCAGAAATACTTTCAAATAAGGTTCCTAATAACTGGAAAAAGAAAGAGACAGATGAGAGTTAAGTGCAGTGATATCACAGCCATACTTGCGTTGCGGTTTTGATTTATTAGATTTAGGAGAAGTAAGATTTCAATGGAAAAATAATTTGGACAACTATATATTTTAATTTTCAGTCTTTTGAGGAAAACATAAATAAGTACTTGTATTTTTTTGGTGCATATAGGTCATTGCCTGTACAACTAATATTAAAAAAAAAAAAAAACACAAACCAAACTAAAGAAAAACGTTGATGTCAAGATACTGGTATAGTATGGAAAGAAAGTTAAGGTTTTAGTTAGACAAGTTTATAACCATTTTGGCTATTTTATTTCTCTTTTGAAGGGAAGAAGGGGAAGAAAACTCCTTATCCTCTATTTTGGTTTGGAAACTACCCCCCTGCTACAGCTCAAAGCCTTCACTAAATTAGCTTGAGTACGCTGATTTATCTCTTCCATGTTACTGCCTGTGCTGTCGTTACATCGAGATGGCTGTAATTCAGAATCACTTGGGGCAGCAGCAAGATTAGTGTGAGGTCATGGAAAGCCTACTATGCCTTGGTGACTGAGGGCAAGTGAAGGAAACTCATTATCCAGTTCATGCAGAGTTTAGCAATACATGCAGTTTGTTACTTCCCATAGGCAAAAAACCTCACCCCCAGATACGTTTCCATTCCACACTCTGTGTATCAACGTTTATATTTAAGGAGCAGATTCTTTGTGTACACAAATACTGATTCTACTGATTTATGGAGAACAGTTACAGGGTCACATCCCAGATCAATGTTTTGTCAATTAAACTGAACAAAATACAATTTTACAGTGTGTTCTGACTGTGCCTGCGAATACAGTTTGTTTGTAAATAAATATATTTTGAATAATAAAGAAGTGTTTTTCTTTGCCAGGAGCATAATTACTTAACAGAAATAACATAGCCGTATTTGCACAGGCATAGACGGTGTAAACACCTATAGCTCCACTGAGTTCAGCAAAACTTACAGTAACTTACGTTAGCTAAGGATTTGACCATTTGTCTGTTTCCCTTAACTTCTGTTCCCCCTAAATGATGATTAATACTTTGCTTGTAAATTATGTTTAATGTACCTGCTTGTAGGCCTTAGAAGACTGGATTTTTGGCATGAAGGACTTATATCAGTATTGGTGAACTCAGGAGGGTCAGGGCATACGTTTTAGCACTGGAAGAGGTAACGGTGCTCTTTAATCATTCATGTGCTCTCTGATGCAGTTTCGGCCAATGCCAGCCATAAAACGACTTGGCAATGCCTGGACGTGGTTTAGGGGGTAGCACAAGGCAGGGACCATTTCAAGTAGTGTAGATGAGGCCATTGTGCTTTGAGAGAAGAGGAGTTTAGGTGGATGGATGTGGTATGCTATGTCACTTTCCTTCAGGGCCAGGGAGGGGGCCTGCGCCCATTTTACTTCTTGTGGAGCCATTGCAGATACTCCTCTGTTGCCATACCTCAGTGCTTTAGATCAGATTTTGAGGGTGTTTGGGCACCTTACAGGATGCACAAAAGCGCTCACGTGGTTCTTTGTTTCTCTGGACTTGGTCCAAAAGGGATGTGGGCTTTGCAATGTTTAAGTTTTGGGTTCCTTGAGGGTAGGAATCTAGCTCTGTAAACTGCCCAGGCTCCCTGTGCAGAGCAGGGCTGAATCAGGCATCTTGGAATGAGATTAAAGCCAGCTGGCATGCAGAGGGGAGAGCCCTCTGGAGCATGTCCATAGGGACGATCTGTCAACTGCCAGGCTGGAGAGCATACTCTGGGCATGTGGACGTAGCAGTAGATTACTTGTGTCCCAATGAATCTTGCACTCATTCCTGCACGGTGGTGTCACGAGGGAGGGGAATTGTCTTTCTCGCAACACAGTTATCTCTGGCCAGAGTACTTTAACTGGCCTCTGGATTTTGAAACTGTAAGGCAGGGGAAGAAATTTAATCTTCTGCTTCCATTATGAAACTGCAGGAGGAGACTGAAATGTGACTTTTGGGGGAAGACTTTAACTGTGCTTTTAGAAGAAAGTACAACCACCACTGCAGTTTGCGTGGAACCGCATAGTGTCTGTGGCATCATACATGATATATATGCTGAAAACACGTGTTTGGTCCAGCACTGAGAGAGATGGGTAGAACTGAGACAAGTGCTTGCATTTTGCTCGAACATAAGTTGACAGAGGTGCCAAGGCGCTTAGTCTTGTCAAAAATGAGCTGTTTCTGAACACGTGCAGGAGTAAAATTGCAAGCTATCTAGTCAAAACTGAGGGTCATCCAGTGCTGGCTGTTTGGTGGGATGTGTTTTCAGGGTCTCAGCTGTGGGCTTAGGCAATATTTAGGCATTTCAGGATTTGGATCCTCCCTTTTGTTGGATCTAATTCTCTGTGTCTCAGTTTCCTGTTTGTAAATCTAAACAATGTTTTCTCATAGAGATGTTGCGAGAGTGTATACATGAGAAATTGTGAAACCGTGCAACTGTCACAGATGGGTAAAATTATTTTAGGAGCTTGCCCTGCATAACCTGTGTAATCTGGTTAAATATGTTAAGAGCTATTGTTTTTGCAGCTCTTATCGTTCCATTCTCACTTAAACAAACAGACGTATCTAGACTATTATCTTTTCCCCTTATCCTCTTAGCCCTCTTATTTTTTCTGTTTGTTTACGCACTTACTGCAAATTTTAGATCATGAGTTGTCTCCAAGAACAACTATAGGTTCATTGTGTGATGTCTGATGGTCCTGATTTGGATCTGTATGAGATACTGCTGCTACTAAAAAAGCCTAATTCATACATGTCTGTACTGTGTTATACCGTGAACTACTTAATGTTAGTAAAAGCTTCTTTTTTTTTTTTTATTTTATTTTTCCACTTTGTACAGCGTTTCTACAAGAAGGCAGCTGCATTTGTGCTAAGGGCAGTTGGTAAACATTCTCCGCAGCTAGCTCAGGCAATAGTTCAGTGTGGAGCACTGGAAATGCTTGTGATTTGCTTGGAAGATTTTGACCCTGGAGTCAAAGAAGCTGCATCTTGGGCACTTGGGTATATTGCCCGACACAATTCAGGTAACAGGTTTCACATGTGTTTTCTTTCAGCTTAGTGCTATGTGAGTTGTAATAAATTGCATTATTGCAATCATAGAATTGTTTAGGTTGGGTAAGACCTTTAAGATCATTGAGTCCAACCATTAACCTAGCACTGCCAAGTGTTCATAAAGAGAACAAGATGCTTTTTCTTCTCTATTGGTATAATATTTTAAATTTAGAATAAAAACCTACTGTAATTATAACAATGCTGGACCTTTTGTGGGAAACTGGAATATCTGATGCCAGCAGTGCACAGTTATGAGAGGTGCTCTATGAGGAGATGCATTTGGCCTGTGACCAGGAAACAACACTCTGCTTTATTCTTCTTCATGAAGATATTTCAGAGTCTTTATGTATCGTGTAACTGTTACTGTGGAACAAAGTTTCTTTTGCTTGACATTAGTTCATATTTTGTATACATGGTAAAATGGAGAAGCCTAGGCAGAACCAAGTTTCATTCAGCTTGCAGCAGTGCCTGCAGGATAAATGTGCCAAATTCGTTGCACTGACTGTATTATCATTAGCCAGTAGACCACACTCTTCTCTGGGAGTCAGGAATAGATCCTAGGAATCCGATATCGAGCAGTTCACTGCTGTCTCACAGGCAGTTGTATAACTCACTGTCAGTGTCATGTTCCTATTTAAAAGCTGATCCGTGTGGTTGATAATTCTTTTACCTGCTATTTATATAGTTTAAGTAAAAGTTTAGAGTTACGAATTGAAGAACTGAGGGAAGAAACTGCTGGCTGGAAAGGGTGGGAGAAATAGCTTTATATTGTTTAAAGTTAAACTTATTCTAGGATCATAACATTAACTCGTGCGTTTATGTTTGGTTTTGTCTCTAAAGTATACATCGACTGAATTTGGAAGTGATTTTCTTTCTTTCTTTTTTTTGTCGGTATGGAGTGTTGGACTGCAGAAGGCACAAGGGATTTCCTCTTTCTGCTTAGAGAGAGGGTTAACTTACTGTGACAGACTCCGAAGTTGTCAGCACCTTCCTAACTGACTGCTTTTTCTGGGGAGCAAATTCATTCTTGGGGCACCTCTGTGGCAAAGATCTTTTATCTCTTGGTCACTGGGTCTGAATCCCACCCTTGGTGGAAAATAATTGTTGCTTTCATCTGAAAGATATTTGGTTAAGTGTCATTTGAAAGTGTTTGTTTGTATAAGTGTGTGTTTGTGTTACTCTTAACATAAACATTTCTGTAGTTTTGTTATGTCAGTAAATCAATATTGACTCACTTCAATTGCCCTTCATGCTATTCACTGCATGAATGCTGGCTGATCTTTAGGGTGATCCAGTTCAGTCTGTGAAGGCATTGTCTGCAAAGATGGAGGTGGTGTGGGGGGTATTGAAGATGGTAAACTTCTTATACAAATTTTTATCCCATGGTTATGAATTATTTATTCACTGACAGTGAATGGATACATGTCTCATGTCAATTTATGCCAGCAATAAGAACAGCATTTTCAGAAATTAGGTTGAAATTGCGAGTGCTACCAAGCTGCAAGCGTCAGGGCATAGACAGATAGCTAGATGTAATCAGATAAAAAACCTCCCCAAAACGCACAACCCCAAACAAACGAAGAAAGAACAACAAAAAGAATGCCCTGGAAAAATTGTTCTTCCTCTGCCCAGCTATGGCCAGTTTGAGGGATTTACCTTTTTCTGTAACACAGTCACAGGAAATCTCTAAAATGATTACTGAAAGTAGAGAAGTTGTACTGACGAAAGATCGCTCTGTGCCTGGTATGTTTTTTACACTCCTATAAACATGCCTTTGCAGCAGGATATTGTTGGAGATGGGATACAAAGATGTTCTTATCAACATCTGGTCATTACTGTTTGAGAAACTCTGGATTAGACTCACATGCTTGTGTTGACAAAATTTGTCAGTTATGATTTTCTGTTGTTGACTGTCGGTGGACACATATTGCAGCATAAACTCTAAACATAGAGCTGGGTGTGAAATGGTTTTCCCCACCCACAAAAGGTTTTTTTTTAGTTTCAAAAATTGTTTCAGTTCCGAGCTGGGACAACTTTTAAGACAAGATTTTTTTTTTTTTTCTCTCCTGAAAAGACTGAGGGGTAAGGGGGCTTATTTGCCCCAGTAAGAAAAGTTCAATAATTAGGGCATATGTCTGGGATGTATGCGGGAGACAGATTGAAGTCCTGATCTGTCTTAGACAGGATGTGAACCTCTGTCTCCCTGAATGCAAGAAAAGGCTCCCAGCATTCAGCGATAACTGTTTGCAATGGGAGGGTCTCTGCTTTTAATCAGAAATTCCATCCATGACCTGATAAAGCTGCTCGCTAGGAACTGTGGTGTATGTTCTCATGAAAAGACTTCCATTTTGAGAAATCAAGCCTTTTTTTTTTTTTTTTCGTGATGAAAACATTCTTTGGTTAGCAAGTTCCCTACTGTCTGCATACAACGATCTCTTAAAATGCAGTTCTGTGAACAGATGTCTCCAGAGGGCCTGTGAGATTTTAGGTCAAGACAGATGTCTCGAGATTTCAAGACACTAGAAATCTTGCCAGGTCAGACTCCAGAATTTAGGAACAGCTCTTGCTGTTCTGCTTTCTTGAAGATCCCTTTGAGCTGAATTTCAGACCTGATCTTACTCCAAAGTATGCAGGTCAGTGTGCTGTAATTTTTGCCATTCATTATTTCTACTATTTGTGTTTGAAAAGAAGTGTACAGTGTTTCAAATATCATCAAGATACCATCAGGTTAATGAAAAATATTTTGTAAATTTTTACTTATACCATACTCGGTTACTTTTAAAATGCAAAATTCTTATGTTTGAGATATGTGAATAACTTAGCTTTCCATTTGCTTTGCCTACATAAAAGGTGTCATTTATTAATTGTCTCTTATCTGCTTCAGCATATTGTAAATGAGTAGGAAAACAAAAATAAACACCACTGTTTATACTCAAGCATACTGCTGAGACTGGACTTATGCTTATTTTGTGTCATACAGTGGTACTCTTAGAGTATAGGATAGCTCAGCTTGGAAGAGACCTTGGGAGATCTCTAGTCCAGCTTCCTGCTCAAAGCAGGGTCAGCTACATGGTTAGACCAGGTTGCTCAGCTCTTCAGTGATTTGAGTCTAGCAGTAACTTTGTCTTATTCCAGGATCTAAGCTTGCCCTATAGTTAATGACCTCAATCCTCCTCCTGATGGAAGGTTTTTGCACTGGTTCCAGTGAGATGTTTAGCGCTGTGGTTGTGGTGGTGTTCATAAACCTGTGATTTTGAAGTGCGGCCTTTGGCCTACTTGTGGGGATTAGAGTCTTCCTATGCGGCCATTACATGATCACACAGCCCTCAGAAAAATACAGTATTGGTGGTTGTTTTGGTCAAAACCTGTTATATCCTGTGGATACACCTGCCACCACAGCAGGGTCTGTTTGAGAACCCTGGTCTGGAGTGAAACTTGCATTTGTTTCCGAGCAAAGAAGGTTTTGCTGCTGCTCCACTACGTGAACATGACATTTGTTCAGAGCTGATTTTCCTTCTCTGAGGATGACCTGCACATTAATTTTCTTACCTGTATCTTTTCTCCCTAATCTTTTTTTTTAAATCCATACTATTATTGCCAACATGTTAATGTGGATTTTTTTTTTTTTTTTTGGTAACACCTTAAACCAGTTTAGATCAATCCTGTAAGACTTCCCATTGATTTCAGTGGGTATGTAGTCAGGATCTTATTGACTCCTTGATTCATTCACTTTCAACTCTTCCTGATCACTTAAAGTCACGACTAGGCCTCAACTTACTTTGAATTATTTTCTTGGTCCCTGATGACTACTTTTGTATTAAGACAAATCACTACAACTCTAGTACAACTTCTAGTTGAACTAGTGACCTCTCAAACTCCGAAGTCTTTCTCTATCAGTCTTTCTGCTACCTCCATGTCAGTCTGTCTTCGTGTCTGCAAGTATCTCCACTTGCTAAAGTCTTCCTTATATTGTTCTGGACAAAAGTAACTAATTTACAGTGGGTTTTGAGTCTTAGTTCTCTTGTCTCTGAGCATATAGAGAGTAAAAGTAACTAATTTACAGTGGGTTTTGAGTCTATATGCTCAGAGACATTTCCTACTTTCATTCATGGAGGGAGAAGTCCTACTTTATCATCATGCAGTTGGGCAGGTTCATTGAGCTGTACCCCAAACTGAAGTTCCAAGCCCAGGGTTTTCATAACTTTCTGTGGAATTAAATGGGATTTATGAATTAGTTTTTCTCCTCTTCAGCTGTTGGTCTTGTCTTTGCCCTTTATAATGCAGGCTTGGCATAGTGTTCAGAAAAGTCCTTTTGTAATTTGTTCCAGCTCTTTTATTTTCTTTGACTGAATATTTCTTCTTGACAACTGTATTTTCTCCTTTAAGTCTTTCTTAGCCTTCATTTTTTTCATCTCTGTCTGTGTTTTGTAATTGGATAGCAAAGTTGCATGAATCCTGTGGTGTGTAGTCTGAATTAAAAATGTTCTACCAAGTGGGAAGGTTAATTGAGGCTCTTTTCTCTAAAAAGGAATTACAATTATCATAGAATTATTAATACTTAGAATTTTAGTTTTGGGCTGCGTTTGCAGGGGAATGTGATGGGAAGATCTATATTTTCTTTTGTCCCTTACTTTCCTGGTTTTTCTGACAGTCTGTTTACTGCTTGTCTGTCTGACACATAGTTCAGCCTCAGTGTGGTAAGTTATTAGCCATGAACCTTATAAATGCCACTGGAAGAACAACCATTTAACTAACCATGACCAACAGTAACCATTGGAATTTAAATGGTATCAGGCTTCTAACAGCAAGAGCTGACCTAAATTGAATCAGATTTAGTTTGCTCATTTAAAACAACTTTTATGGTTACTTTTGCATGCCTTGGCATAGCTGTCACATTAAAGTATTGCTCTTTCTCTCCCTGCTTAAACTTCATGATTTCAGCTTATAAGGCATCAAAGAAACCCATTCTTCTAGGAGTATCCTGTCCCTCTTGACATGATTTTCCTGATATTAGCATTTCCTAGCAGAGTGGAAGCAACTGGGTTGGTTGCTCTGAAGTTGATTCTAAGGCACAGTTGGATGGATTAATCTGGACTGTTGGTCAGTAGTTCATGATGTATTCCACTTGGTCAGTGTACAGCATCAAAATACAATTTGAGGAAATCAAGTATGGCTTTTTCCATTAAAAGCTGAGTGTAGGTGTAGCCTATACCACTTCTATTGATTAGCTAGTTTTCAGGTTTGCTTTCAGATGTTTCAGCTGCATTTAATTTCAAATTCGTAAAACTGAAGATATAGCATATGGGTTTTGTTGAAATCTTATGATTTGTGTGTATTTGGAGGATGCACACTCTACGTTTTCAGTCAAATAGTTATTTGAAAAGAGAACCTTGAAGGTTTAATTTTGTATTAGTTTAAAAATTACTGCATTATTTATTATGATTTTATGAGGTAATATTTATACTTCATTTAAAATATTATATAATAAAATAACATATAGAGTAAATATTTGACTTATCACATGTGTTGGAGTGTGTGGCTATAACTCACTAATTGAAAACAAATCTGGTCAGGAACATTATTTGGATATTAACAACGTAATAATGACATGACGTACAGATTTCATGAAAAACTGTATTAGTCTATGTATATTTAATGAAGTATGCTATATTTTTCTCAGTATGAAAATCTCTTTATGGATGGACTATAAATCAAAAGCTAAGTTAGAGTCTTGAAATACAACAGCCATATGTTGCCATGGTACTGTAAGTCAAGATAAATGTTAAAGATAATAATGGATCTGCATAATAAGGTGTAGCAAAACTAAACTAAGAACCTAATAGATTATTGAATCCCCCATGATTTTTACCACTCTTTCAACACTGTTTTAAAATAGCATAGCTTGATTGTAGTATAAATTTTGCTTCTGATGTCCAGTAACTCGTATTTTAGGACTGTGATTAATGCTGCATTCACGGAGAGAGCTAATGAATTTCTAATAGTGTAATTTTTGTCCATGTCAGCTAATCATATGCTTGGTTTTTGTTTTTTTCTTTTTTTTTTTTTTTTAAAGTGCAGTTAGTTAAGGATGTTGTACTAATCTCAGACACACAATATCCCACTGATATTTCTCATTTGTCTAGTTGTGTATAATAACATTTTCATGTGATTAAAGTATAAATTCTGTCTTTTCCCATGTATGGTAGCAGAGCCTAGTTTTGATCAGCAAGTTCCATTTTTCCAATCTATTGTGCAAAATAAATCTTATGTATGTTTTTTATATTTCTGTTTTTAGCATTTGATCTATGCTAATATCTGCTTATCATTTAAAGATGGTAAAATGCTCTCTAATTAGGTGGTTGGTAAAATTTTGGTACTTTGGCTTTCTGTGTTGTTGTTAGCCATGCATAAAATGCTTTCCTATTGATCAGTGTAGAATAGCCAGGGTTTAAACAGCTGACATCTGCTTACTTTAAAAAAAGAAAAAGAAAACAGAATAACAAACCATTTCAGCCTAATCTACCTCAAATGTGTGCATGTAAATGGGGGTCCATCTATTGACCTGCATTCTTTTCAGTTGTGGATTGGTCCACATGGTTTATGAAACCAGGAAGGCTGATTTGAAATGCAGATGTCGAGACAGTGAACTACACCCTCCCCTTTTTCCTTTGCTGTATCTGTCAGGGTGAAAAATGGCTTGCACAAGGGTCAGTCACCCATACTCACTTAATTACTTTCCTTGGACCTACAGAACTGTCACAAGCTGTGGTGGATGCAGGCGCTGTTCCTCTTTTAGTGCTCTGTATCCAGGAGCCAGAAATTGCTTTGAAAAGGATTGCTGCTTCAACTCTCAGTGATATTTCAAAGCATTCTCCAGAGTTAGCACAGACAGTAGTGGATGCAGGAGCTATCGCTCACTTAGCTCAGATGATCCTGAACCCTGATGCTAAACTGAAGGTACATTTAAAAATTATTTCTTTTAAATCTCCATGATACCAGTCATTACTTGATACTGAATCAAAGACAGTGATGTGCATATTTATTTAAGAAGCTCTTGTTTTGGGTGTTAACAAAATGTGCCTATGTAGTTAGTGACAAAGAGTTCTGAACATATCCACACATGTAGCTACTGGATAAAAACTGCTACTCTGTGAGGAACAGCTAAACTTTAAAGTGGATAGTATGAATGTTTATTTTGCTTATAATGTATATGAAGAATGCAACAGATATTTTTAATAGATAAAATTTGCACAATTCAGTTACAAAAAAGGTTTTGCATACTTAAGATTATATAGTTAATATTAAATGTATTATTGTATTTTATTTGTATTCACGTGATGTGAATAGCTGTTGTAGAAGGTTTGATCACTAGAGTTTAATTGACAAAAAAATTTGTTTCTTAGTATAATTTTCCTGTCTTACTCTAGCAGAAACAGAAGACAACATAAAAATGCCACTTCAAACAAATAGATAAAAATTCTTTAATATAAGGTCTGACAGTGCAAACTTGTGCAAATAAAGATACTTTCTATAGATTTCACTAAAGTTTAAATTAGTTTTAAATGGTATATATATTTTTTTATCTTTTAATACATAGCAAGCTTGAATGGGATAAAACAAAGCAGAAACTTTTATTCAGGAACCAGCAAATGTTCTGTGCCATTATATTCGCGCATGAATTGACTCAGTGAATTGTAAAATAGCCGTAATTGTTTTCCCTATCCTGCTTTGTTTTCGTTGATGCAATAGATTTTTGTGTGCAGGAGGAGTGTGTGTTGTGGGATGTTTGTATACTATTGATGTTATAACAATTTTTATTTACTAGCGTCAGGTGTTGTCAGCTCTAAGCCAAATAGCAAAGCATTCAGTGGATCTTGCAGAGTTGGTGGTTGAAGCAGAAATTTTCCCAGTTGTGCTCACATGCCTGAAGGACTCAGATGAATATGTCAAGAAAAATGGTGCAACTTTAATTAGAGAGATAGCAAAGCATACGCCTGAGGTAAAACCTTGAAAATGCAAATGCAAGGTCATATCATTAGATTTTACACTTTAAATAAAATACAGGATTATTCTGTCATTTGCTTTTCGAAAGGGAGGGCAAATAGCTGTTTGGCATGTTCATTGGAAAAATATGGAAATGCTTGCTGAAATGAGATGTGTATTGAATGTGAATTGGGTTAGGAAACTGGGAATCATATGATGTATAACTAGCTACTTCATTCCATAAGATATCTGTGCAGAGAGGGAATTTTAGGCTGACAGTATTGTCAGTCCTAGATATTAAAAATATCTTGAGAAAAGACCTACAGAAGTCATGATACCAGCTAATAAATGACAAGATCATCCTGTAACAATAATAGAAAGTGCGTGTCTTTTTAAAAAATCATCTGGGGTGCAGGGATCACATTTTAATTATTTTTCCAATGACAATGAAGGTCAAAAATTCTCTTATTTATTATTAAACTGATGGCAGTGTCTTTCATTAGCTTGAGTTTGTAATTTGAGTCTCAGCATTTGCACTGTTTTTGCCAATAATTGGTGCAGGAAGGTGGGGATGTTTGGCCAAGTTGATACAAAATAAATAGCAAAACCAAATAATTATAAGTATGTTAATCTGTCAGACCACAGAGATAATTAAAAGGCTCTGAATATGACTCTGGAATGAAATACGTGCAACGTCTTTGTGGAACATGCTAATACTGAGCGCAGCCGTTTCAAAATCATGATCCTAGCTTAACAACTGAGAAGTGTTTAAACATGAATATTGTGCTGTTTCTTCAGCCTGCTAGTCTTTAAGCTGCTGGTGATTAAAGGTTGGAGTCTTGTCACATTTCCTGCTTTCGCTCTGCACGTCATGAGCAATGCAACTTCACTTTCTCCAAAAAAGTGAAGAAATTGTCATTATCAAAGGGGGGCACTGGAGTCAGAAGCCAGAGGCCAAACTCACAAGACTGCTGGCACAGGATCCTCCATGCGAGGGGAATTGGCCATTCTAGCAGCTTGCTAGAGGAGCTTGGAAGAAGTACCTTGGTGACTCCCAGTGGGAAGTCACAATCCAGGTCTGACTTCAGAGTGACAGTGATCTCTGTCTGTCTCTGAGCAGCTCTATTCAAGCAACACGTGTTGCAGCAGAGACAGATTGGCAAGCGGTATTTCTAGAGGAGCTGGCTATGTCGGTCATGTGAGTGTTGTGGCTTTTGGATCTCAGCTCTAAGGGTCAGAGCACCAGGGAGTGTATCTTTGCAGGAGCTCTGTGCATCCAAGTGCACATGGCCGTGCCCAGACGTAGGACTTGGTCATCACTGGCTGCAGTTCACAGTTGTGTGAACAGTTTTTTCCCTGAGTAATAACTTTAGATTTCACCTAGCTGTTTCATGAATAAGACAATCCCCTTTTAAACACTCTAAGGTAAAGGTGGATTTCATGTTTATAGACATCAACTGGATCGGAAATACACATGCTTCAGTTTTGTTCATTTAACTTTGACTTTTAAAACCATATTTCTTTTGCATTGGAGTCTTTGGGAAAAATGGGATATACTTGAGAAGATAGAAGAAAATAGTCATAATATGAAATTATTCTCTGCACTGTTAATATCATACATAATCTACTACTGTCCCTCAAGTAATGTGAGAAGTGATACCTTTTGGAAAGAAACATGTCGCGTAGCTTGATTGTAATTTATAAGCAAGGCTATATAATTTGGCATTCTGGAGCAAACTCCATTGCCCATCAAGTGTGTCCCCTCAGAGGACCTTAACACAGCAGAATGGTGTGGTCTAAGTTGGTTTTGAACGTCCATGACTGTTGTCTTTGGCTTCATGCCTCCATGGGGGAATCCACAAAGTCTTTTATGCTGCAGAGGGTATCTAGAATGCAGGTGAGAGGAGGAGGGGACCTTTCCCCCTGTCCCTGCACAGAATATAGGATGTTGGCTTGGGAATGAGCAGGCCCTAGTATGAAAGAATATCTGGCTCAGTAGGTGTGTCTTCAAGGGCATTTGTGTATTAGGCTGTCACTTCCATGTTTCTTTGGCATATACTAATGGAGTTGAGAATATGTCATGTCAGCGTCAAGAATTCAGAGTCCTGATTTCCTTGCAGTAAAGTCAATCAAAAACAGAGTAGCAAAACAGCTTAATCCCTGAGAACTTCATGCTGCACTTAGTGCCCAAAAGTCTGTACGATACGTGACTCTTATTCCAGCTTATTTGTAAATCAGGAGCAATACATTTAAAGACCTTTCTAATGTAGTGCTTTATGCCTGTTGATACTTCACAGTGCCTAATCTCTTCCGTTTATCTTTTCAGCTTTCACAGCTTATAGTAAATGCAGGTGGAGTTGCTGCTGTGATTGATTGTATTGGCAGCTGCAGAGGGACTGTCAGACTGCCTGGCATCATGATGCTTGGTTATGTAGCAGCTCATTCGGAGAACCTGTCAATGGCAGTGATTGTCTCCAAGGTTAGCTATCACTTTGTCGCTTCCTGTAATTCTTCAGCGGTATTCTGAGAAAGAGATACAAATTAACATAGGCAGAGAATGTATTTTGTGACAGAATTATGTACTTGCTTTTGACGAATATTGTTTCTTGCTGTTTCTCCTAATATTGCTGCTTGCTGTGGCTGAAATTATGTGGTAACCTGATCAAAGCGTGTCTTTATGAAGTCAAACCTTTTATAAAATGTCCTGAATTAGTTTGTGAGCATCCATTTGTATTACAGCACGTGATTTTTCTGTGTTGCAATTGCATGGGTGCAGAAAATAAGTCAGTGATGAATTTCTGAGGTCTGTTTCCTCTTAAAATTAATATTTGTGGCTAAATCAAAATCCTTTTTGAAACAAGAATGTTTAATGGCACATTCTTCATGGCACTAGCATGACTGTGCTAGTACTGCTAGAGTAGTCTTGCAACAGAAATTTTCAGACTTGAAAAGACCTCTTTCTAATGTACTATGGTTTGATTCAGCGGTGCAAGTGACATTTCAAATGAGATAAGCTATAGATTTTCAGGTTTAAATAAATTCTGCTGGGCAATGATATAGAAGAGGAGAATTTGGAATATTCGCAATAGGTGAAATTAGCGCCTGACAATGTTCTGATGTGAATAATGCTAATGACAGGAGGAAGGAAGTAATTTCACTTGGCATTGTTGGCCCATTTTCACACTATGTCAGTCATTTAAAATATACTGTATGAGTGGAAACAACGAAACAATGAGAACGGAGGAACAGAAATGTCTTCTAGTAGGAATGCAAATTGAAAAATGGAAATTGCTACAACGTAACATCAATAAGTATGCAGGGAAGGTAGGAGTGATCAAAAAAATGCTGTTCTGCATTTGAAAACTAATGAAATAGGCACTTTTTCCTTGCCCTCTCTGGAGGCCTTTCTTC